CCCCGCGGGGGCCGGGGGCGCGCACCGGGTGGGTTCCGTCGGGCCCTTGGCCCCGGGGGCGGCGGCGGCGGCAGTGCGCGGGGCGGCGGAGCGGGGAGGATCCCGGCCGCCTCGGGAACGTGGAGCGGGACTGTGTCTCCAGGCGCTCTGCCAAAATGTGTGGAGCTGGGAAGAGCTGGAGGACGAGGGTGGATGTCAGTGGGCACCGCGGTGGCCCTTGGTTGGGAAGTGACGGTGACAGCTCTTGTGTGATGGTGGTTTTGTGTGGTGCCGCTGGTGACCGCTCAGAAAGGTCCAGAGGGTTTTAATTTCCTTTGTTGGAAAGAAAAAGTCCCGCTTCGGCTCTGTGTAGTTGTTGCTCTCTCTACTTTTGCACAAGATTAGTTGGCCTAGCTCTCAAGACAGGAAAGGGCAGAAAAAAAAGTGTTGTCCTTGGCACCTAAAATAACTAACTGCATGCTTTTTCCCCTTGCTTTGCTTATTTGTCAAGAGCTGGGCCAGGTGAATGGTTTCTATCCTGAACTGAATTATCTCCACTACTGCAGCAATACACTAACCAGTCCAAATCAACTCCTGCTTTAGCAGTGGGACACAACAGTGCATACGAATCATCGCTCTGAACAGAAGGCCTAGCAGTACCTCTGTGCTTTGTAACTTCAGCAGGGCCTTCTGAAATCATGTCATGGTAACAGTCCATGCCTAAAGAATCCCTTTCACCAATAGGTTAGTGCAACCTGCACATGTCTTTGCCTCAAAAATCAATCCAGTCCCTCCAGAAGCTGAAATATCCTGTTATCTAATTGGATAAAGTAGGAAAGTTGCTGTATTTATTTTTTCTTGCTAAACTTGACAAAAGTGAACTAGTCTCGTCAGTAATTTTGACTCCACTGTTTCTGGTTATAAACTGTGTGTGTACGCACTCGTTGTATGTATATTATGTGCTTGGATACTGACAATGTAAATGTATTTTATTTCCAGAGTGAATTGGCTAAGTAAAAAGCATAAATTGGATAAGTAAAAAGCATATCAAATATAAATAGGTATCTGCTGCTGTAAGGACATCTTTGCCTTTTCAGTAACTCTCGCTAGAAATTGATCTACTGCTCTGTGCTGCCAAACGATCAACATCTACTTGCTTAAAGTGCTTCTTTTTGTATCACAGTTTAGTTTGAACAAACTTTACCACAAAGTGTGCAGTTGCCTTACAGTACATGATGGTGTAAAAGGTGTTGAAAATGAACACCACAGAACTGCATAACTATTTCCCCTTCGGACATTGAATAAAGAGAAATACTTTTCTAATGATGGGGGGAAAGTGGTTGACATTAAAATGAAACATATACACGAACTGGACAAATGCAGCGCCAATGACTTACAGTTCTTCAGTTTTGTAGTGCCGGACGGAACTGTTCGATGTTTTGAGAATTTGGCCAACCAGTCTGTGTTAAAATACGAAGGCTATTTCAGCAGGGAAGAGAGAAAAATAAACCAAAACCCCAAAGAGCAAACCCAAACGCGGGGTGTTTTCTCTCTCCCCGCGGGGCCGGGCGGGCGCTGTCCAGGGTGCTGCAGGCAGCTCCCGCGGCCCGGCTGGGGAGGAGCCGCTCGCCCCCACCCGCCCCCCGGGTCGGTTCCTCTGGGTCCCTCCGGGTCCCTCCGCAGCTCTTTGGTTCGTCCTGGTGGCTGAGGAGCAGGTCCAACCGTCCGGTAGCCGCGTGTGGTTGATGTGCATCTGTGTGGTCCACCCTCAAGCGTGTATGGGTGAAACTAGGAACTCGCGGTGAACACTTTGTGACAATTGCAATATTTTGCTCGCCTCTCTGGTGCTTTATGCAACATTTCATTTATAAAACTCAATCAGGAAATAGCTTTTTTTTTGTGTAAGTAAATATTAATTTTTTGATTGTTGAACGCGTTGGTAATTTTTAGTTTAAGAATCAGAATAGAAAATAACTTGGCATCTAACTATGCATTTTAGGTACACGTTGTTTGATTGGTTTATGTGGTGAGCTGCTTTTTCTTTTCTTTTAAACAAAATGATAAAAGTACGGACTTTACTCAGTAATCATGTATCTAAGCCCTGGCTTAATACAGTGAAAGGCTTGTTAAATAGTCTATTTCTATTTAAGACGTCTTTAGTATTCTGGGAGGGCTACTTCATTTGCAGAAAAAGAGAGAGCTTTTTTTCCAGTTGACCAATTATAACTGATGGCAAAATCAATAAAATTTACACTGAATAACAGTCAACCCAAAACTTGTAATTGAGTATTACTTCCCCTTTCTCCAGCTTTCCCCACACCCCTCACGCAGTCACCCCCACCCCTCCCACCTCCACCCACCCACCCTCAACACAGCCAGTTCTTACACTAAAGAGTGAAAATCATGGGGCTTTCTCAGTCTAGCAAGTTACACCTTACAGAAAATACTGTTGGTTCTAACAAATAGTACATATCAAAATAGTTTTGATGTATAACTCTCCACTTCAGACTTTACATTTTCATTCCTTTATCTGAAACCAGAAGAAAATGAACTTTACTTTCAAAATATTCTGTATTCTGCCATATGTCTCCTGGTGTCTGAAGAATGTTTTAAATAAATTGCTTTGCATTGCAAAGATTTACAGTCATGAGTTGTTTGGGTCATCAGTCCACATTTAGCTGTTCCACATAGGGAGTTTTGGTTTCAGTTTTAATAGTAAGGGATACTCACTCATTTTTTTGAGAAGAATGCCATCCTGTTACTAAGGTTATTAAACTTCTTGTTGAGTTGTATTGGGATTTTTCAACATTCCATAGAGAATGATGAGAATTTTGAATTTTAGAACATTTGAAAAATCACTATTTATTTTTGATAGTATCAATGAACATGCATATGCATTTTATGTTGTTAGGATGTCGGTAGACTTTGCATGTTGTTTAGATGTTCTGGATATCAGTGTAGTCTCACTAAATCCATCTTCAACTTCTTTCTTAAAAAATAACCTCTTTATAGATTGTTTTCTTGTCTTGATAGTCATATATCAGTAATGGCTAAACAATAAATATAA